TTTCCACAAAATATACAGATGCGCCAAACCCAGAGTCTACATATCCCACAGAGGAGCCTCCTGGCACCAGCACTACGGACATTAACACAGAAGTCTCGGGCATGTTCACGACAGTTGAGCCACCAGCTGAGAGCACAGCAGCTGCCAGCTCCTCGACAGCACGGGCCTCGCCTGCGACTGCTGGAACGCCAGCGTTGACGTCTGGAGCAGCCACACCAGGCGAGTTCTGTGTGGTGTGCCCTGCTGTGCCGCGTTCGGTTCGCTATCCTATCAGAGACTTTGAGGCAGTAGTGTGACGAGCGTGGGGGTAGGCAGGGGGTGCCTTGCCCCCCCACCCCCTGCCCACTGGTGGCCAAGGCTACGAGTTGGGGCCCCCTTGACAACCACCATCAGATATGCTCTGAACAACAGTGTGAAAGAACAACAGCAACACTCATGTAATGATGTGATTAGGGCAAGAGGAGCCGACATACAGGGTGCTTCAAAAATGTTTTAACACTTCCGAGAATTTACAACAATACCACGAGAAATGTGCTGCTGCCTCCGGGCTCTGGAGACTACCTGGAGAAGATTCCAGGCATGCGTTGACAATGATGGCGGACAAGTGAAGCTATTCACATACATTTGTGTTACAGTGTTATTATACGTTCTTTTTCCATTAAAAACGATAGTCCCATATACCGTATTTTCCCGCATATAGCCCGCATACACAAAAAAACCTGCAGACGCATATACCCCGCAAAAATAGCGTTTTGTGTAAAACATTTAAGATAGCCCACACCTCTATATACCCCGCATGCATTCATATCTTTAACGTCGTTACCGCAGCTTAATTCCATCATATTAATACAAAGTTTACATTTGTAATGCATTCCACTTTCAATTGTTAACATTAAAATCATAACGTGCACAAAGATAACAAACTAACCGGAAACGAGTTAACTTAAAACAGTAAATAAGTAACAAAAGTAAATATCCAATAAATAAGTAACACATAACTGGTAGATAAGTACCGTAAGTAAGCGTACTGTTAGGCTTACCAGCATTCGACCTCATCATATTACAGCTACTGGACCGGTAGTTACCCCTGTACAGTTTTAGCACTGGTAGATTCCGCACTGCGCAGACAATAGCGGCACTACGGTGACGCCATTGCCTCCTGGCAACAAAGCCATTGGAAGTTTGAAACAAAGCTCATGGTCGTGACTGTATAGTGCTCAGCCAATAGCAGCGGCCTAAGGGACTCAGAAATTATGATTCCGCGTCTGGTGGACGCTTGTTAAGGCCCTTCCCATTGTGCAATAGCCTCAGCTGAAACTTTCGCACCCCCCTACAGCCACTCAAAGTATTACGGTAAACAAAGTGCGCCCACTTGAAACATTGTCGTTTCATTGTACAAACAATTCAATAATTTAAAACGTGATAACATGTGCAATTTAGTGTGAGTGGTTTATTCAGCAGTGCTTTAGTCAAAGGTAAGTGTTGCATAGTGGATAGTCCTACCATGAAAAAATTAAACGAGTTATTACAAGTCACATGTGGAAAATATTTTTTGGGATAGCCCACACCTCCATATACCCCGCAGGGTCTTGTTTTGTTTGTTAAAAGTGGTATACCCCGCGGGTTATATGCGGGAAAATATTACACAACCTGTATAATAGCCTAGGCATGACCGTGCGAGACCAATCAAATATTGGAGCCTCATCTGACCGATTGCCGCACCCCCTGAGCTGACAATCTCATCACACGCCACTGCCTTAAGGGAATTTCACGTGGTCTCTAGAACAACTGCTCGGTCACAGCTATATTGGCGCGTTGGCCAGTGCTCATCTCTGTCGGCAGCTTTGCACCAACGGCAGAAATTCCAGAGCCCCGCGACAGGGACCAATATCAACGTAGGATAACCATTACGATAATGAGGATGATGATGATGACAAAGATGATGACGATGATAATAACAATGACGATGATAATGATGACAATGATGACGATGACGAAGATGATGACGATCTCTTCCGTAAAAATCACTACGCCCCCCCCCCCCACACAGACCGTGCGGTTTGCCACGTGGCTGGAGATCCGCACTACGTGACCTTCGACTCCCGGCTTATCAGCTACATGGGCACGTGCACGTACACGCTGGTGGCCGTGTGCAACGACACCGGCGTGACCAACTTCACCGTCACGGCCAAGAACGAAGAGCGCGGTCTGCCCAACGCCTCCTACCTCAAGCACGTGATCATCGACATAGCGGGCCACCGCATCACCCTGCAGAAGAGCCACCGCGTGCTGGTACGCACAGTCGCTCCCGCCATGATGGCTCCGTCGCCTTCTTGCTCCTCCTCCCTATTCTTACCCCCTCCTCCTCTCTCCTCCTCCCCCCTCCTCCCTCTTCCTCCTTCCCCCCCTCCTCCCCCCTCCTCCGCCCTCCTCCTCCCTCCTCCTCCCCCCTCCTCCTCCCTCCTCCTCCCCCCTCCTCCCTCTTCCCCCCCTCCTCCCCCCCCTCCTCCTCTCCCCTCCTCCTCTCCCCTCCTCCCTCCTCCTCCTTCCCCCCCTCCTCCATTCTTTCCCTGTCCTCCTCCCTCCTCCTACCCCCTCCGCCTCCCCCCTCCCTCCTTCCCCCCTCCTCCCTCCTCCCCCCCCCTCCTCCTCCCTCCTCCTCCCTCCTCCTCATTGAACGGCTTCAGGCGAGGCAGATTGAGTGGCCGCAATGCCACGGGGAGTGGATCTCTACAGGGCCAGGAGTTCGGCACGTGGGCCAATCGTCGTCTGACTTAGGTGGTGGCCACGGTCACAATTTGGGCTGCCTTCCCTCACACTGCACTTATGGAGGAGTGAGTGGCCATGTCATCATCTTCCCTGGCCGTGTCCTCAAGCAGTCGAGGGTTGTCCAATATTTTCCGTGGAAGTTTGAACCCTGAGGGACTTCACCGCCAGGGAGGGGGGGTGGTCAGTTACCTACGCCAGGTGGCGATCGGTGACGTTTGCAGTCGACCCCGGAGTTTGCGCCTTCGAGAGGTGGCAGGGCTGTCATCGGTTTGTAGGGTTTGGAGTGGGATTTCAGATGTGTGGGTGGAGTGGGTGGAGTGGGTGGAGTGGGTGGAGTGGGAGGCGGGAGCGGGGGTTTGAGGTTCACTCGTCAGTAGGAGCGCTTCGTCAAACGCGCGCATCAATGGCGGGAGATTAAAGAATCGGCCGACACGCGCAGGAAGGTCGCTGCCGCGGTGCCATAGCGAGCACATCACAGCCGACTTGCGCCTCAGAGGCCACCGGTTCAGCCTCCGTGTGCGGCAGTTGCAACGATGGTGCACGTTACTTTTTGTTTCAAAATGTATTACAACTCAACGTGAGCCCAGTAGGGAAGCAGAACGGAGGAGGGGGTGGTGGGGGTGGGGGTGGAGACAAAAATTCCATGAGCAGCAGCAGCAGCAGCAGCAGCGGCCCCGAGTTGGGCACGGCAGGGCTTTCATGATGTGGGTGGGGTGCTCACCGGCCCCACCCGGGCGGGGACCACACGCGGGGTGGGGGACCAGGGGGGGATGGTTCACGTTTCTCTAACGCACCGCCAACTCTCACGGCCGAGGGACATTCGTTATAAACTGTTCGCGCCCTCGTGCGGGATGAAAGGCGCCCCTCGGCGGTAGCTCCACGACGTCACCTTCCGCGATCACCCCTCTCGAGGTGGGGGTCGATGCACTACTGGCTGCGGCATTCTGAACGAGAACGACGGGCAACAAGAACGGTGCCGAGGGGAGACAGGGAAACCAATGGGAGAGAGAAAGAGACCAGCGTGGACGGTAGCTAATCTTAACCCGGACGTACGCGTACGCTATCCGCTCCGCCTTCTGATTCCGTTCCGGTTGCATACGCGTACGTCATCGGAACGTAATCGGAAGGAAAAGTCAAAATAACTTTATCGGCACGTCTTCGGTGTTCCAAGATGTAACCGAGGCTCCCCCCCATCCCCACAAGGCCACGCGGGAGGTCCTGTGGCACAGTTTGGCGCCAGATATCGTAGAGTGCAGTCGTGTCGCTATGGTTCTCTGCGGTGAGTAGAATAAAATCTACGCTGAGCCGCTCGCGCGTGCCGATGAAAAAAACATGTCTACTTGCATGTTTTGCCACACTATGTGTGGTTAATGCAGAGTTGATGCCTTGCAATAAGGTATCCATGTGGTGTAAACATCTTAACACAGCTCCTGTTAATTTTCATCATTTATTGATACTGGCAAAAAGGTCCACATAGATAGACGCGATAATTGTTCGCTTCACTTCAGCAAAGCCCAAAGCTACCAATCCACATTCACAGGTATAAAAACCAAAAAAATAAAATTGCATCTCTCAGAAATGTAACGACGCCGTCGATTGCAGACACGTTCGTGTATTTTAATGACCTTCGCTGTGACATTGCACAACGCCCTGGAACACGGAGTCACGCCGCTGGGGGTTTTTCTCGCCTCTTTTCTAGATCAACGGGAAGCGAACCAGGACCCCGATCGTTGGTGCGGTGCCCGGGGTGCAGATCGGCATGCAAGGGAGCTACGTGCTCGTCGTAACGGACTTTGGGCTGGTGGTCAAATTTGATGGCGTTCATCACCTTGCGATTTCCATACCGAGCACTTACTCCCGCAAGGTGCTGGGCAACGGCCGTGCTTCACTGCTTACAGATCCGCCACCCACTCACACGTTCAGTACAGATGTACAGTTGGTCATCGATTATCCAGCTTCCAAGATTATCCGGCAGTCCCGGGCTGATCCGGTGGAAACCGACAAAACCGTTGCAAAGGCTGTAACCAGTCCGGCGATCGGCACCGTGGTTTTTTTCAGTGTTAAATATTATATACAGTACATAATACACTACATACAACTTAAATAATGAAAATACTGCACGTGTATATATATACATCACCCCATGCAGAGTCTTCGAGATTGGAGTGGTAATCACGGTATATTAAATACGGTAACTTTTTAAAATAGCATATTTATTTTTTAATATTTGTACGTTTATTTATGGCAATTTCACACCATAAAACAACTTTAAAACACAAAAAAAACACCCAAAAACATGTCATACAAAAATGCGCAATGAATACGCTTTTTAAGTAACAATCATGTAGTGATTGTCCGGCGTTGTAAAAATTCAGCACTCCCACCGAAGCCGCTGGATAATCGATAATCAACTGTATATCTATCGGAGGAGATGTACGTACATACGTACGTTGAACTTCTTTCGCACATAGCTAACCGTGCTAATTGGAGGTGCCGCCGGGGGACGGGGGGGGGGGAAGGTCAACGGACTAGACGCACCGCGGCGTGAACCTGAGCCGCGACCTCTTGACCTGGGCCCTTTTTTTCCCCATAGGTCTGTGGAATGTGCGGCAATTACAACGGGAATCTCGACGACGACGACCTGATGCCCAACGGGGAATCGGCGCCCAGCACCGCGCTGCTCGGTGACAGCTGGAGGGCCGCGGGCGACACGGACGCCGGGTGAGAGGGAGCCGGGGCGTGGAGAATTGTGGCCACATTGCACGGACGATTGTCGAGAGCGACTTCGCGCTCCGAGTGAGCATCGAGGTGGCGACCTCCTGTTTCACGGCTCCGAAAGTTACCCTTTTGTTGTGGCGGGGGCGAGGCTATCCTTAGGGCTGCTATTCTTGACTTACCCACCAAGCAGAATTTATTTTAATAACCCCCGAACGGATGATGGGCTGAGTTAACCCACGACCCTTCTGATTGCGAGCCGCTCGCTCTACAGCTGAGCAACCTGGGCCGGAAAATTATGCAGTGGCTGCATCTTAAATGCCTGTCATCTTTCAAATGGAATGAAAGCAAAAATTGACTCCGCTTATTAAAAATGTCAATTTGTAATCCAAACGATAAAAATGATCATCGGGTCTACGTTTGGTGAACAGCAGCAACACCCGTGGGCAGATGAGCCCAATATGAGCAGGCACATCAAGAAAAGTTATTTTCCAGGACCGCACTTTGCAATAGATCCAATAAAAGCTCAATGCGATTATTATTTTATTTTTATTTTACCAGGTAAGGTCACCACAGAGCTACGGAGCTCTTTTTCAGAAGCGATCTGGGCCATCACAAATGATAGCTCAACAAAGTGGCTTGTCGTCATCATTGTGGACATTTTTATCAGCAGCCAAATAACTCTGAACGCATGATGTGTCTAAACGTGGAGGGAAAAACCGGAGGACGTGGAGAAAAATCCACACAACCACTAGGGGAGAGACACCGCAAAGTCCAAATATACAAGCGTTGGGGTTGGGATCGAACTGACTACCTCCTACATACATGGCGAGGTAGTTAACATCTCCTAGCCACCTGCACTATCCGTTCTGGCAGCGCCACTGATCAGATAGAAGCTGAGCAGTACCATGTTGAAACAAATGGCTCTGTTTAACCACCAGAATGTCCTTCATAGAGATAGAGGTGTTTCTGGTGTTATAAAGACATCCTTAATAAAGAATTAAAGCTTTCGTGACTGCATAAATTACTCATTGGTTTTTTCGGTAAAGTCACGTATGTAGAAATACAATAAAATTATATTAAAATAAATCACGACGTTTCGACCGCAACACAAGCGATCTTTATCAGGTGTAAAAAACAAATAGCGAGGGAGCACATAGGGTGACATCAGCGCAACACATAGAGATCAGTAAACTGCACGGAGGTTTGTTGAATTCTCGTCTCTCATCTTCTTGTTGTATTTACCTCCGTGCAGTTTACTGATCTCTATGTGTTGCGCTGATGTCACCCTATGTGCTCCCTCGCTATTTGTTTTTTACACCTGATGAAGATCGCTTGTGTTGCGGCCGAAACGTCGTGATTTATTTTATATAATTTTATTGTATTTCTACATACGTGACTTTACCGAAAAAACCAATGAGTAAAGACATCCTTGTTTAGGCCTCTCTTTGAATAGCTTCAGTTAATGAGCCAATTTTTTCGTTGGATCTCGTTATGAGAACGTTAGTCATCTGTAGGAGTGGAATGTAGACTGGTGTGATTTAGCAGGCCCCTCTTTATGGAGAGCACCCATGGAGATGGTTTGGTCGTTCTGGCAATAGACTCTACAGTTTCCACTACTAAACACTATACACTACTATACACTATTTACTGCACTACTATACACTACACTATACACTACTACACTACTATTTACTGCACTACTATACACTACAGTATACACTTCTATACATTACTATATACACAGACTAGCTCTTCCTGGGGAATTCGCAGGCGTTCCCAGGCCAGCTGAGCGACGTCCCACCAGCGTGACCTGGAGCCGGCCCCGGGGTCTTTGCCCAGCTAAAACCTGATCTTTGTTGAACTTCTTTCGTGCCGTACGTAGCCATCCCTGATAAAATACAGACCACATCAGGAATATTCAACTTCGCTAGTCAGTCTATGTTTGCCACGGCTAATATCAGCGATTCGTTTCAGAACTTGTCCCGAGATTCTCCCAGGTTAACTCAGGTGGTCTGTTTACCCAAGGGTCACATCGCCAAAGTTGGGAACTGCTGAGTTCTGGGTTTGAATTCCACTTTGAGTGTCTCAACCCAGTCGCCAATGACTGCATGAAAAAGCCTCACATTAAATCTGATGTCACTTAATTTTTACTCAATTCCAGCTATGATAATTAATCTAAGGTCATCTTGAAGGGATCTCAAAAGTAGTTCTATGCTAGCCCCTTCCACGGACTGTTCTCTCGTGCGGTGAAGGACAACAAACCAAACACAAAAAATCATCTTTGCAACCAGGGATTAACTCCTGTGGGTCATTTGCCTTGTCTCAACTCACAGGGAGCTATAGATGAGATCAGAGGCGTGCGTTAAAAATTCATAGTAACTGGACATGGACCTTGTTAGGAAGATCGTTTGAAAAAATATGAAACAATTTACAGCCCTTCTTCAATCTGCCCGATGGCTCCAAAGCTTCGCCATGACTTGACGGTTGTGTGAGTGTGCATTGTACACGGCACGGTGATATCGGAATCCGCCAAGGCGGTCACACTGTACAACCAACGCCTGTCCAATTGACCCGTAGCATCGCCTCTTTGTGGATTTTCAATCCTCCCATTGCAGGTGCCAGCCGGCCGCAACCCCTGACGGATGCGATGCAGCCGACAATGAACTCTACGGGAGGATGTGCAAAATCATCGTCTCCTCCTCCGGACCCTTTGCCAGCTGCCACAACGTCGTCGATCCTGCCCTCTTCTTCCAGTCGTGCGTCTTCGACGTGTGTCAGTACGGCGGCATGGAGAGCACGCTGTGCCACATCCTGCAGGCCTACGCGGAGGCCTGCCGCGCCGAGAACGTTGACGTCCTGTGGCGTAACGAAACCTTCTGCCGTGAGTCTGTGCGATTCCTGGTTTAGGAGGTGTTAACAGCCTCGCCTGGTATGAAGGAGTTCGTGGGTTCGATCCCGACCCCTGACGACACCTGCTGTATATTTGGAGTTGGCATCTGTCTCTCTCTCCCCGTGGTTAAGTGAATTTTTCTCTGGGTCCTCCGGTTTTTCCCCAGCACAATTAGAATCAATGTTACGCGTTTAGAGTATTGAGATGCCGCTATACATTTCTGCATGATAAGCCACTTCGTTGAGCTATCATTTGTGGTGCCAGGTCGCTTCTGAAAGAATGGCTATACAGCTCAATGGGCCTTCCCTGGTAAAATAAAAAATAGTGAAGTATTTTGAATTTCACCCCCACCCTCTCGCCCGTTACGGCCTCCCCTCCCTCCCCGCTCTCGGATCTATAAATGCCTCGTCACAACGACATGCTTCTCTCTCTCACCTGAAGACGGTTGCTTGTTGTTGCGATCGAAACGTTGTGATCTATTATTTATTTTCCTATCTATGTGACTTTACTGAAAGAACCAAAGAGTATAATAGTTAAGTAGTTTAGTTTAGCTTGTGGCGAGTGCATGATTCCGCGTATGTACAGTGAACCGGGCAGCTCAGCGGTAGAGAGAGCGGCTCGCAATCGGAAGGTCTCGAGTTAAAATCTAAAGGGCGAGCGTGTGCAGTTCGTTGTTTTGTGAATGTATGTGCCCGATATCTTAGCAAATAGTTGCATTCAGGATCTAATGAGTAGGGTGTTAAGTCGGAAATCGGAATCTTTATTTATCCTGGAGATATCTGATGTGCTATGAACTTCTTTCGCACTGTACGTTTCCCGAACGTGCTAATCGGAGGTTCTGTCCCTTCGTCTCACAGCGCCGTCGTGCCCGCCGAACACCCACTACACGCCATGCGCCTCGCCCTGCCCGGCCACCTGCTCGGACATCCACGCCGAAGCCGGCTGCCAGAGCGTGGCTCGGTGCGCCGAGGGCTGTGTCTGCGACCAGGGCTTCGTGCTCAGCGACGATCTCTGCGTGTCGCTGGAAGCCTGCGGCTGCCGGGACGGCGAAAACAACTACCACTCGGTGGGTAGAGAGACTGCTCAGTCCGCGTGATCCACGTGGTCAACGCAGTCCACATGGTCCACTCCGCAAGTCCCGACTAGTTGGGAAGACACCACCGTGAACGCAGCTGGCCAGAGTTTTGCAGAGGAGGGCACCCACGCGGTGGATCATGGGGCTGTTTCAAGCAGGCTCATTTGAAGACAGTGATCATTATTATTATTATTATTGTTGTTGTCATGAGAGAGGTGGTTGGTGGCTTGGGGGGGCCTTTGTCTAGCAGTGGATCGACCATGGTGAGTGTGAGCTGAGTGGGTGGCGATTGTGGGCTGAGTCAGTGGCGAGTGTGGGTTGAGTGAGTGGCGAGTGTGGGCTGAGTGCGTGGTGAGTGTGGGCTGAGTGAGTGGTGAGTGTGAGCTGAGTGAGTGGTGAGTGTGAGCTGAGTGAGTGGCGAGTGTGGGCTGAGTGAGTGGTGTGGGCTGAGCGAGTGGTGAGTGTGGGCTGAGTGAGTGGTGAGTGTGAGCTGAGTGCGTGGTGAGTGTGGGCTGAGTGAGTGGTGAGTGTGAGCTGAGTGCGTCGCGAGTGTGAGCTGAGTGCGTGGCGAGTGTGGGCTGAGTGAGTGGCGAGTGCGGGTTGAGTGAGTGGCGAGTGTGGGTTGAGTGAGTGGCGAGTGTGAGCTGAGTGAGTGGCGAGTGTGGGTTGAGTGAGTGGCGAGTGTGGGTTGAGTGAGTGGCGAGTGCGGGTTGAGTGAGTGGCGAGTGTGGGTTGAGTGAGTGGCGAGTGTGAGCTAAGCCGGGGTTTCTGTGCGCCACAGTTCGGGGAGTCGTGGCTCACGGATGACTGCAGCGCGAGCTGCACGTGTGAGGCGTTGGGCGCGGTGTGGTGCTCTACGCACGGCTGCACCATGGGCGAAACCTGCGAGCTCAAGGACGGGAATTACATCTGCAAACCGATCGGTGAGTCTGCAGTGGGGTGTTTGCGGTACAATACAATGGCGCTGCGACGTGCCTGGGTTTTTACGGACGACCGTTTACGCTACGGAGCAGATTCATGAATGCACAATCACGTGGAATGAGTAGTAATAGGTTTTTACCCTTTTATCTGGCACAAAAACTGACACCTTTATACAAGGGATCATGTTTGAAATAACCACAACACAAGTAGTCAAAATGCAAACAAAAAAGACAACTCTGATAATATGCACTGTCCTTGAATTTGATTGGTCCACACCCGAGACGGCTGTTCTTAGAGCCCAGTCTCCACTGGTGTTGGACCAGAAGACACCCGAGATGGGTGTGGACCAATCAAAATCAAGGACAGTGCATATTATCAGAGTTGTCATTTTTGTTTGCATTTTGACTACTTGTGTTGTGGTTATTGCAAACATGATCCCTTGTATAAAGGTCTCAGTTTTTGTGCCAGATAAAAGGGTAAAAACCTATTACTATATCTTGTTATTGGCAAAGAGGTCTCATAATGTAAGTGCTGACCACCGAGCTCTCAATACTCTGATGGTGCGCTATTTTTGAGTTCTACGCCTTTTGGCGTCTTCTGGTCCAACACCAGTGGAGACTGGGCTCTAAGAACAGCCGTCTCGGGTGTGGACCAATCAAATTCAAGGACAGTGCACCATCAGCCTGGTTACCAAAACGAACAAAATCATCTCTGATTCAACAGCATTAATTGATCAGACCAAACAGTTCTCGTTGAAACCCTCTGCTGCCAGACCACCAAGATTATATGGCCTCCAAAAGATACACAAAGAAGATACACCCCTTCGTCCCATCGTCTTTACTATCAACTCCCCCACCTATAAACTGGCACGTTTTATTGCTGATATACTACGACCTTTCACTGGAAAAACCACCTCTGCGGTACTTAATTCCACTCACCTGGTATCGACAATCAAAGGCATTCCCCTGTCCCGTAGACGACCTGCGTGTCAGTTTTGATGTGTCCTTGTTCACCAAAGTTCCGGTACCTGACACCATCGCTATCATTGAAGACCTGGTTCATCAAGGTCTGCACACTGATGTACCCCCCCTGGTGAGACATTGCTTAACCAACACATACTTCACCTGGAATGGAACTTTCTACAAACAAACTGAGGAAACCCCAATGGGCTCACCCCAATCTCCGATTGTAGCCAACGTATTCATGGAAAAATTCGAAACTGACGCCATCCAGACTGCCACTCTACGCCCGACCTTATGGAAGAGGTACGTGGATGACACTTTTGTCATCTGGCCACATGGCCAGCCTGCTCTAGACCAATTCTGCGACCACATCAATTCCATACACCCAGCCATCAGATTTCCCATGGAGGTCGAAAAAGATGGCAAACTACCCTTTTTGGATATCTTAATTAAAAGCAGACCTGATGGTTCAATGAGCCACTCACTCTGTCTACAGGAAAGCTACCCATACAGATGCTTACTTGAAACCGGATTCCCACCACCATCCATCCCAGAAGAACTCACTCATCAAGACTCTATACCATAGAGCCCAATGCATTTCCGACCAGGAACACATTACCAGTGAACTCAAGCACGTACACCAGGCTCTCAGAGCTAATGGTTACTCCGACTACACAATCCACAAAGCCATCACTCCAGTCAGGATGAAGGATCCTCTTGTGGAGCCACTCAAAACCATCACCTTACCCTACATTGCAGGGGTCACTAAAAAGATCTCCAAAATCCTGAATAAACACAAGATCCAGGTCTGATTCAACACAGTACATAAAATCCGTGATCTGGTTCCATCTGTAAAAGATGCTGTTCCAGACATACATTACCCTGGCGTTTATAAACTAAAGTGCCTCTGTGGTAGTAGCTATATTGGAGAAACCAAACGACACATCTCGGACCGCATCCGCGAACATAAAGCAGACTTGAAACACGGTAGAACGAACTCCTCTGCCGTGGCAGATCACTGTTATAATTCAGTGGGTTCACATGACATTGACTTCTCCAAGACAGAGGTTCTTTGCAAACCAACCGGCTACCATGAGAGATTCGTTCATGAGGCCATCCACATATACAAACACAGAGACAATTTCAACCGAGAAGATGGATTCTGGCTTAGTAACCATTGGAAAGATGTTTTAAACCATTTCGGTTCTTAATTAATTGTATTTTACGAGGACCTTCAGACCGCAGCTCTTTCGCTGGCACTGACTCTTAATACCTCTCACACCACGGTTAATGGTATGGTTTATAACATGGAGTATAACAGCGCCTCGCAGCTGTTTCTCCCCTCCTTCCTCCTCCGCTCCAACCATTGATGGACTCGTCCGTCTGAACGTAGCTGTTCGTGGTGCTGAAGTGGAAGGTAAGAATCCACCCGTTTTTTCACCATATAACATTGTGATATAACATTGAGGTAGTTTATATTTTAGTTTTTATTGGTTTACTATATGATATTCATTATATAGTGTAGTGTATACCCAGTTAATGTTAATTGCTCAGCTAATTGAAGAATATATTGAGTACATTTATTATATTGATGTAATTTAGAATTAGGTTTTTCACATCCCTTTACTGTATGACAGTTGAGTTGTTGCAGCCCCCTTTGGCGTCCATGTACGAGGTGCCTCTGTGGATGTGTAGGCTTTGACTTTAACATCTATTTCTGTGACAAGTCACAAGCTAATCCCTTAGCTATTTCTATGCTAAATTACTAGTTGCCTCTGTGGATGTGTAGGTTTTGACTTTAACATAGCCATTTCCGTGACCAGTCACAAGCTAATCCCTCAGCTATTTGCACAAGCTAATTCCTTAGCTATTTCAATGCTAAATTACTAGTTGCCTCTGTGGATGTGTAGGTTTTGACTTTAATATAGCCATTCCTGTGACCAGTCACAAGCTAATCCCTTAGCTATTTCAATGCTAAATTACTAGTTGCCTCTGTGGATGTGTAGGTTTTGACTTTAACATAGCCATTTCCGTGACCAGTCACAAGCTAATCCCTCAGCTATTGATATGTAAACCCCTTTGTCAAGGTGCCTCACTTCTCCCAACCAGCTTAAAAGTCGCTACGAATCTTAACATCGTTC